ACTGACGAAGAATACGAAACCGGTCTACATTAATAAATCATATACTATTTTCATTTCGTATTGGTTGACACTACACATTTGATCTTTGGTTGATAAGACAAACTAGCTGTATAAAAGATATACCTTCGATTTACTAGACATATTGCGACATTTTAAGTAATAAAAAACAGCAAATCCCCGAGAGCTCAAAAGAGGTTTTAAGTGGATTCTCAGCGGATTTCCGAAGTTTTTGATTTTGACCTAATTCTTGATTCCTTTTCTTATCGTATGCTAAAAGTTCAATTTTAAAGAGATTTACTAAAGCGAAACATTGTCTGTGTAACCAATAGCGCGTTTTAAACAATGAAACGAGCATAAGAGTTTTATAAAAACCGCCCGAGAGTCCCACTCAAAAACTATATTAAGCTCTTGGACTTGCTATAATATAACGTTAAGACTAGACAGAAAAGCGATCTGAATAAATACAAACGAACAAACAAAAACGGTGACTATATGAAACAGGTAGTTGTTACAGAATTTACATAACATGACAGACAAATATTTGTGTTAAACTAATACAAAAAAAGTTTCTCCATTGCACTTTGTTTTGATTCATCCGTTTATACCACCATCAAGGGAGATACGTCGACAATTCTAAGTAAATGAACATGCATCGAATGAAAAGAACAGATCTCGTTTGTCCTCATACCATACCATACATACTCCATCTTGTGCGACCGACATCCGGTGCTGAGATAAATATTTTCGGTGTATCATTATCTTCATCACTTGATTTTTCATTCGAGTCTTCTCTCGATTTAGGGGCAAATCCATCTGAAATATCCCACATTTTACAAAAGTTTTCTCGCTTCATTTAAAACTAATCTAGTTTTATAGAGACTTTCTTCCCAGCTTGCTAATATTTTCGGCTCAATTCATAATGAACTTGCTCTTTCAACACCTAAAATCAAAAACGTTCGCACAACAATTGTGCCCGAAAGACACTAACTAAGCTTACGGTTTCAAAATTCCTTCGAAAACATTTTTCGGATGTGCGTTATTGGAATGATGAACCACGTTCCATTTGCCACGTATGCATTTAAAGCGCACGCATCTATATAGACGAAATCTTTTCGAACTATTCAGAATGAATAATTCGTGATAAACGATACGTACTTCCATTTCAAACGACAACTAACTAGTAACCAAACTATGTGACAATTGAAAAAGGAACATAGCTAGTCCTAAAGCGCACCCAGCTTCAATTTTTCTAAAAACAGAGAATTAACGTTATAGCGCAAGATTGTAAAAGATAGTTTAGAAGGTAGAATGCTCATGAAACATGCTTAATTGACAGAGAATAGATACGACAACTACAGTGCATCGAGCATCTGTTGCTAAGTATAAGCAAAAAGAAACTGGGAATTCAACGTACCTGCTGGGGAACTACTATCTGGATCGCTGAAATATTTTTTCCCCCACATTAAAAATGCTATGATCATTTTTATGCAAAAATTTGACGGCAATCAATAAAGCGTATTTCATTGAGGTATCCAGGTATAACGTTTTATCGTCTGCCGTTGATACGTCTAATTCACTTAAGTCGACCAGGTAGCTCAGTGGTTAGAACATAGACACGGAATGTTAAGCTCCTGGGCTCGAATCCTAGTCTGGTCACACTTTTCCTTCATAGAGGGTTGTGCAGAGACTGATGTGCTTCTTGTAACTTTTATATCTGAAATTAAATGTTGAGCTCTAGGGTATTCTTAAAGGACGGTGAAACAGGCGGTATTTTCGTTCTATATTTTAAAAATTATAAGATGTATATTTTTCGTTCTGCTACAAGAACCGTGATTCTTCTTGGATACAAACAGGAGCATACATACAATTTTTAGTCAAAAAATACGTTACTCAATAAAAAAACTTTAGTTACTCAGCAAGCTTTAGTTTCAAGGAATTTACTTTCAAAACAAAAATGCGTAAAGTCGCACTGTGCGTGCGCACTTTCGTTCTCAGATCTAGCACACTCAGCCTGTTTGACTGACACAGTAACAAAGATCTTAACTGTATGAAATGCTTACTTAACTGAGACCCATGATCACCACACTACTCGGGAGAGAAAAATGTTCCATCTTGTGACAAAACGGAAAGGAGTATAGCTCCCTTTCTCGTCGGACAACTGCTGTGTGCTTACCATCTCTTCAATCTACAAACAAACAAATATGCCTGATTAAAATAGCTGTATGACGACAGAAAGCCCCATACATTTGTATTTGGATGTTCCATATAAGATTCACGAGATATTGAACTTTTAAAAATAAACTATATTTGAGTTTTATCTCAGTATTTTAAAATTTGGGTTTTGATACAAGGAACGTCCTATAGGTTTTCTTGCATTCTCAGTTCGATTATGACCATAAAAAATTCCAAATATTTATAAGGTAGCTGAGACCATTGTTACTATTGTGCCACCATCATGAGTAGCTAACCGGCCATTGCTCTTATTTTCTGAAGTAACTGTTTTGCACGGTAGTCATGAGTGGTGAAAAAGCTGGATATCTCGTGAACCTTACATGGAACATCCTTCAAAGTTTTAGAGAATACAGTTCATGTCTCACTCTAATAATAACCTTAAGTGGTTTGTGGAAAAAAAGAGAGAACATGTTGTAAAATTCATCGCGGTGCTGATCAATTCGCACTGAGAGTGGCGCCGAATCCGATAATTTTGTTGGGAGAGTAAAAGTCATTTTTCTCGGTTTCTGTATTAGCTATGAAGTCAGAAAAATCAGTTTCTTACGTAGCTTGATGTGCTCTATAAAACTAGATTGGTCTTAAATGAGGTGAAGAAAGTTGGTGTAATGATGGGACATTTCAGATGGATTTGTCCTGCAGTTTATTCAGTTTCGCCGTTTGTAAATGAACCTTAAGAAAAGCAGATGGTAGCTGTATTGTGACACACTTCAAAGAACTGTTTATATGTGTGCTCCTGTTCGTATCCATGAAGATAACCATTCTTTTGTGCTTAAATCGAGCAAGATGACCAACTGTCTTACTTCCAAATCAAAATGAATGAATTTTTCGTCCTGAAATTTTCGTAGGAAAACTTTTAACTGACTTGACCACGGTTAGTAGCGTTTCTTCAAATCTTTTAAAAACTAAAGAAACGAGATAAAAATCGGAAATTGATTTTTGCCTGTTTAAGTAATCAGAATATATGGAAATTTTGATTCGCATAGCATCGGTTTCTTTACAAAATAAATCAATCTGTAATAAAAGAGACAGATTTGTAAATGAATAAAAAAAAGAGCGCTAGTGGTGTAGCCAGCCACGGAACTTCTGGAGCTGAGCCTCATGACTGGAGATTTTCTTAAAGTATAGCTAAAAATGTTTCGTTTCATTCGGCAAAAAGCTCAACCGGAATCTAACTGATTGCTTTAGGCAGTAAGTAGTAAATGACTAACGTCTAAACACAATAAATACTACACATTCCTGATGTATGTGACACGAAAAAGTGTTGAAATTCTCATTATATATATTTCAATAAATTGTTGATCGATAATCATTATTAATAGCGTCCGTTATACCTAGAAAATTATTTAATTGTTGAGACAACCTGTGCAGTAGCTAACTATTCAAAAACTCTTTGGCCGATAGTTCTCGTTGATAACATTCTGTATATGCTTTAGAAAGAGTTGCCACAAGTGTATTATTCATTAGTCTATGAATTGGCTTAAGTGAAAGATTGATAGTCACTCATTTTCAAGTATCACGTCGTCTTTGGGTACTTCCGCACAGATCCGCCCACTTTATACACGACTTAAAGCCGGGAAGGTTTGACTATATGCAATCGATAGTCCTGCTAAAGATATGCAAAGCCCCTCTGTGGCCCCATGGAAAAATTATTCCGAACACAGTTTTTCCTCGGCCATAAGTTCTGAATTGAAGCGTTTTTAAGGGTGCCGGAATAGCGAAATCCGACCTTATCTAATACTGTCAAGCGTCCTCATACTGCTAGCTGGAAAGGGCATACAAAGTTGCATACTTCTATCTGCAAACGAGATTTTCTCCTCTGACATTCGGAAAAGAATTTTTGACTGGAGGTCCTTATCTGTATTAGCAGATATCATTCGTTTTACAGCGTGTTGAAGCTCAAAATCTAACAAAACATAACTTTATTTATATTCAAATGAAAATGAAAGCAGCTTCCAAGTTTGTTCGTATGAAGCAACAATGAAGTCTCTAGCACTTGTTACTTCTTTATGGTAAGCGTAGCCGTAAGACCTACTTTGACCCTTCCTGGCCTCCTCCCTCGAAAACTATAAGTCAGTTCTTCGTGATCTTGTTGGCCCACACACTCCTCGACTAGTGCTACAAAAGGCGCAAGGTATTGACTTTTGTCAGGTGGTTTTTCTTGTACCCATTTTCTAGAAATTCGATCAAAATCCTATCATCTGGCTAGAGTCAGAAACGGGAAAAAATACCAAACTACCCATAAAATTACATGCTGCATCCGAATTTCAGGTTTGTTTGGATTCAACATTTATGACCAACTGAGAATTTTGACGGGATTTCTAGAAAATGGGCACAAGAAAAACCACCTGACAAAAGTCAATACCTTGCGCCTTTTGTAGCACTAGTCGAGGAGTGTGTGGGCCAACAAGATCACGAAGAACTGACTTAT